TATTTTTACAGATAATGTATCTATGTTTCCGCTATAAGAACAAATACTAAAAACAGAATTAAATAAATATTTAAATGGCATCCACCGTATTTTTTTACTTTATTCGATAGAAAATTACTTTCTGAATAGAATGACATATCATACGTCAACTTTTGACATTCTCGCTTAATAAAAAAATGTATTTAAAAATTCAATCTAGAGTACCATGGCTATGTTAAAAACACTAATTCTTCATCAAGGAGCCTTGGAAAAATATATTTGATCGTCTAATGTTTTTGTGTCTTGTCCTGGCCAGTTAGAAAATGCTCAAATCGTATTTTTAATCATATCTCAATTTTTTTGAAATGGAACGAGGGTGGTTCATTAACAAATTTGGAAAAAGAATTTTTCTTACGAATAATTTGATACCTCACACTTGGTATTTCAAGTAAAATTTTCGTTACGAACCGCAAGTTATAATTTCAAATAAACCATATACGAAAATGTCAAAAGTTGACGTATGATATATCATTCTATTCACAGTGACATTTTCTATCGAATAAAGTAAAAAAATACCGGGGGTTCCATTTAAAAATCAAGAGTTGTAGTCATTTCCGGTGAAACCGGAAGTGACCGAAAACAATTGAATACGTCAATCAATCCTAATTTATGTCATATACTAACATACCAAATCTCGTTTAAAAAAATAAAAAAGTTATAGGGGTGAGCCACTTATGAGCCGTACCCGGTATAAAGTGTATGTTTGAACAACAGGATTACGGGACATCGTTGCAGCCACCCTTATTCAGATAATTTTGTTTTCTGTCATGTTTTCTTAATAAATTTCACCAAAAAAGAACTGTGCAGCTTTTAGAGTTACTGATATTTTTGAGGCACATGTGCACTAATTCTTCACACATTACCTAATGTGGAATAGTCGATAACCAAAATTTAACGTCGAATATATTATTTGGTTGATTTGATTACCTAATTTAAAAAAATGTCTACACGTCTGTGGCAGATTCATCTCTTCAAAAAAGTCTAATGGGTAGTTCACTACTTGTACTTAACAATCATGGTACAAAGAATACAAGGTATGATCGATAGCGGCTCCAATTTCGTTCAGTTCGCGCATACCACCTGTGACGTCACTATTAAAATAATGAATAAATAAAAAATAAAGAAAGTTGACAGGAGATCTGCATTTTTTGGGGTTATGGTTAAGAATTGTTTATTTTTAAGACTTTTTAGTTCATTTCATTTAATAATTACTAAAAGCAGCAGTTCCAAAAATATATTTAAAAATAATAATTACCTATTAACATGGATTTGGTCGATAATAGCCTTAGGTAAGAATACTAAATTTATTTCTATATTCGGTATAAAATTGTTTATTAGGTTTTTAGTTTATGGTAAATAATTTTCATGTTCATTGCCTCTGAATTCACATGAGGACAGAGATGAGGTTATCTATGGAAAAGTAACCACAAGAGGAATTATTACATCATTTAAAAAATGTTGGGAAGTTTATTGTTTCCCATCGAAAAGTAGAAAATGCCAATGCAGATGAACGTATTGTAATTGTGATAGAAGTAATTCCAAGGGTGAAGTTTATTATAATTAGTGACCTGTGCTTCTTTTTATATGTAGATGTTTCAGGTTTTGAGAATAAATTGGTTGAACGACACCCAAAATTTAGAGGAAGTATTTGCATACCCAGAATATGCCCATCGAGGATTATATTATAGCTCAAATTTCCTTTAATGGTAGACAATTATTCAATGCAAATTAGCTTTTTAAGTGACTGAAATATTAAATAGTTTACAATATGGTATATCACTAAAAATATATTACTTTTAGGTACAATTAGGGCCCGATACATTTCAAAAAGTAGAATATTATTTTATATTAAATGAGGTATTGTACCAACAATCAATTTATATTAATAACGGAGATTAAAAAATGACAGAATAAATAGTTCTTTTTTTTATACTACAAAAATAAACTATAGAATACAACAGTATTTAAAAAAAAAAGTTATGTCCCGGCCGAGTTTCGAACTCCGGTCTCTTGCTTTCTAACCCGACTCCTTACGCACTGCTCCATAGTAACTTGCTTAGCGATAATTCAATGACGGTATATAAACAAAAAAACAGGTTTATAAGAATATCTTGACGATTTGAACTGGCGCGCGGAGCGTGCTGACCAATAGCGCCTGTTATCACCTGTGACGTAGCGACCAACCTGCGCAATATCATACCTTGTATTCTTTGTACCATGCTTAACAATTGTAAGAAACTTGTACTTAACTATTCTAAGAAAATCTACAAATAAAATAATTATTTTTTGTAAACACTGACTGCTGCGTTAATCCAACGGAGACTAGCTTCTCATTAGTAATTTACTACTAAACAAATTTGCCTAACAGGCAAAAAATGCTTAACGTTTCGGGAAGTATATCTCTTCCCATCGTCGGAAGCAAAAAACACAAAGAACTAAGAAAAAACTATTTAAAATATTTAAATACAACTATTCAAGAACACTTTAGATTTTTTAAGTTTAATTAACACTTACCACCTGAGAACATTAATTACTTAATGAGGTAAAACCAAAAAGCCTCAAACTTTCTGTATGCAATATTTTTTAATTTCTTTTTAATTTTTACTTATGTTCATTAAAATTAAAGAAGCGATAGTCATACATTACTAACCTTTAGAGATGCCCGAGCAATACATTTATTTTTATTAGACTGTATTAAAAAGCCTCTTTTATTTTTCGTTCAGGGGCTATCGCTTATTTCATAATAATTTTTTGGTTGTTAAAATCTACTCTGTGCCTTGTGTCTCATGAATGCCGACAAATCTTAGATTTGTGAACATCGCCCTTTATGTATATTTATAATAATCTTTATGTTTTTTTTAATTCGAACATTTAAGGGTCTAGATGTTTCACCAATATAAAATTTATCACATTCAGATGGTATTTTGTATATTACATTTTTTGTTTGTGATCCAGTGTTCATTAGTTCAGTGCGGGTTAAAATGGACCTAAATGTATTTTGTGTTTTGAAGGATATTATGTCTATTGTTTTCCTATACTTCTTATTTTTTTAAAAATTCGCCCTTTATTTCAGAAACCAAGGGGCTAGAACAAATCTGTGTGTAGTATCTTTAGTTTCATAAAAAAGTAGTATAGTGATGTGAAAACCGGATCTTTTCATTACCCTGTAGATACTACCGATAGATATAATATCAAATATTTCTATACACTAATCTTTCAATTATTATAAAAATATATGATGCAATTTACGATTATTGTAAAAAAATAATTATGAATAAAATTATTTAATAATTTTGCTTTAAGGATTTAATATTAAATGCATTAAACATAAGTAAATATAATATTGGAGTGGCCTGGTAATCTTTGGAGCTTTACTGTAATATATAACTAAGTTTTGAATAATGCATACAATTAATGAAAAGCAATTTATATTTAATAGATTTATACAAATTAAATTAATGAATTTCGTATAGGAGAATAAATTAAATTAAATTTTATTATTTTAAAATATCGTGCGATTTCCAAATAAACATGTATTCAAATTGCACGAAAATGGAAATGTTTTTATGCCAACTTGGTTATTAAAGAGTGACTTATATTAAATGTAGTAAATTTTAATAAAACAAAATTAATAAATATTTTATTAATATCTATAAATACATTTTATTATTTCTGTAATGTTACTATACTATGCATGGATGTTTTTAATTTTCCATTATTTAATGTATTTTAAAAATTTAGAATTAATAGAATTTTGTAAAATCGCTTAATTCTGGGGCTTACTCAACTAGGTCGCACAATACAAATTCACCTCTAATATCCATTTAGTTGGTCATTGGCAAGCACTCTTTCATTATGAAAATAACAAAACAAACATTTACTGATCTGGATAAAATTGATAGTTAAATAGTAAAACTCACCCGGGGATACTCCGCCTCCTAACCACTGACATCACTGACATTCTATTCAATATATCCCATTCCATATCTTCCATCTAATTCTAATAATATTGGGTTAATAATCTTCAACAACTAGCTAGTGTCACTTGAAATAGTATAGGGGCTTTCCCCGGACGCAAATCTGCCGCTAAACAGATTCACATCCCAAGCGAATAGGCTAATTGGGGTACCTCACTACCCAACGCCGCATCGTGTCAATCGAGAACACAAGGGAGACCTCAAAGTCTCAAGACCAACCTCGAAGGCAAGACGTCACAAGAGGTTTTCTTCTCAATGGTCAAACGACCCGTTGCCTTACAGTCGATTTGCAACTTTTGTCAAAAGACTCGCAACGCCCAAATGTCAGCTCTGTGACAAAACACAACACTATTGCCGGCCGGCCCGTCTACTACTGACCCGCCGCGGGCAAGCTAAGCCTCCTCTTACATCACAATTTTACCTATCACAAATATTTACATCGCTTGCCAATGAATCATACTATTTTCTCTAATCGACTTTCAAATAGAGTGTTTTATTACTAGATAAAGAAATAGAGAGTTTCCGAAGGAATGCATATTCTTTATTAGAATAGTGAATAAATAAAAACATTATTATAAGGAACTTATTTTCCAAGTTTTACAATTTTTAATAAAAAATGTCTGTAACTATGTGGCGGTTTCGTCTCTCCAAAAAATTCTATATGGGTATTTCGAATTATTTTCAATTATATTCAATTTTTAAGTAATTGAATATATTGATATACATATTTAAATGTAATAGAAAAATGTTTATATAAAATAATATATTAATGTACATTATTTTTTACCAACACGCAATTTTTGATCAAAATATTTATTTTGAAAGAGCTACTGATATCAGATCGTTTGTATCAAAATAAACCGATCATGTAATTCTTGCTGTATGTGTGTGGGCGATGTTGCCTATATTACGTTATATTTGTGATATTAATAATTGAATGCAATCATTGAATATCAAACTAATTATAATTTCTTTGACTTTCAGCTGTAACATCAGCTGCAGGTGGATTAAAATGGGTTCGAGTGAACGTACCGCAGTACAGAGTACCCGGTGAGGTTGCTCAATTGCAGTGTGATTACGACTTGGGAAATGATACACTGTATTCGGTGAAATGGTACAAGGAACACGAGGAATTCTACCGATTTGTGCCAAAAGCATCACCGCCTGCTAATTCGTATAAAGTGGAAGGAGTACATGTCGATGTAAGTTAAAACAGTAATATTTTTAATAATTTTACATAATGTGATAATATTATTATTTTTATTAATTATGCATAAAATAATTATCTGATTTTGAACATTTTAATTTTGTTTCTCTAGTTATCTCTTTGTTGATCAGAGGTTTGGTGTTAATCGCATCATTTTATAAGTTTATTTAAGAGTCTATTACGCTGTACTGTTCGGGTCGCTCTCAGGGGTCGGGTAAGCGGCTGTGCGGCCGAAGGAAATATATATTATATTTCAGAAATCTGCCTAAGGCTTAGCCCGATCCTGTGGTGTTAATATTTATCATAAGCTAGTACGGTTTAAAGTTGTATAAAGAAAGGTTTTTTTAGAATTGTTTGGTGTGTAAAAGTTAGAATAATATTCAGTTAAATGAGAAACTCGAGACAAGTTGTTTTTAAAAAATGTTTTATTTAATAAAAACCGAAGTTAACAGCTGTAAGATCTACATTGGACTCAAACTAATGTACTGTTTGAGTCATATTTATAACGTTACAATAATTACAGTACAAGTACATTATGTGTACTAAACCTAATGTACAGGATGTAACTCCTCCACCCTAAGATGGCCATATAAACTTTTTAAAGTTTTTATGGCCTTATATAGTATTTTCATTATTTAAATGAATATTTTGATTTTTCTTATTTTTAATAAAATAATTACTTATTTTTGGCCATAAATAACTTTTACGGATTATATATAGCAAAAAGGATTATATATAGTAAAATTGCCCAAATACTTATAGTATTAAAATGTATTGGTTTAAGAAATAAATCATTATTTTCTTTTTGAGTATTGATTTGTTTTTGCAAATCATCGATTTTATTTAAATGAATATTATTTAAATTGAACAATTTTACATTGTCATAAATAGGTAAAACAAACCGTTTCGTTACATTTTAAAACAATATTAGGTAAATTCATTAGTTAAAATGACGTCATAAAATTTGTATATAACTTTATGTAATAAATTCATTAAATTCATTTATTACAATATTTAATTTACTTGAATGTTTATTATTAGCAAAAATTCATTATATAATAATTTATATAAAAATCAATAATTATATTTTATGACAATATTAATATTATATAACAATTATACAATTTATTATTAAAACGTATTTATTTATTTATTTTTATTAAAATATAGAATGTCAAAATTAATATTTTTATAAATGTTAATTTACAACAAAGTTACAAAAATTTATTCACATTTAAATTTTACGAAGCAATAATATTATTATACATATATTTTTTTTTACAGTAGTAACAAAGATAGTCATTAATTAATTAAAGTAGATGTCGTTATTTGATATTTATTATCTCTTAAAGCAGATAAATAAAACAATACATTCAGTTAATATGGAATGTGAATTACGAGGGGTAACTCAATAGTAAAATACATGTTGGTTTTTCATATAGTTCTTAATTTCTAACACAATTTTTAATATTTAACATATTTTCTTTTGTATGTTTAAAGGGTAGTTTTTTCTTGATATAAATGTTTGTTTTTTAATTGCATTCAGGCAATAAATGATCATATAATAAGTCATCATTGGTTTGATTATTTAAAAATTTGATATTTACGTATTTATTAATTATCGATTAAGTAAAATGCAAAGTTTTAGCAATTAAATAATAAAAACACAGAACCTTCCCGATAAACTACAATTCAACACATTTAATCAACTATAAATCACAAATAATACGTCAGGAAACTTTAATAAACACAGACAGCATTGAAACGAGCGTGTTGAAGTGTCTCATCACACTGGCGCGACCGACAGCGGTCCGTGCTTATCTTCCCAAAAATAAATCAATTTTATTTATATAATCATATTTCTAACACGGCCAATTCTGACACGGACTTCGCTCTCGAAGTCATTCTATTCGGAATCGGCTGTTGAATATCAGGAAGGAATACTTCATTGCTATCCACCAAAAGTGATATTCTGAGTAGTCAGTTGTTCTTATAGGAATTGGTATCTTAATTAAAGAGGTTTCTTTATAACGAATCCAGCTACTACTCTATTAGCTAATCAATTTACTCATAACCTTCCAGACTTTCAATACTCATTTATTACATTCTCAGAAATATTTTTTTTTCAATCTTATATGTTACATACTTATATGTTACCTGTTACTTCAACATTTAAACAACAGTGCAAAGCGTCCATTCTTTCAACAGTCAAATATAACAACAGTGCAAAGCGTCCATGCTTTCAACACTCAAATACTACCACAGTGCAAAGCGTCCATGCTTTCAACACCCAAATACTACATCAGTGCAAAGCGTCCATGCTTTCAACACTCTACAACAGTGCAAAGCCTCCATGCTTTCAACACTCTACCACAGTGCAAAGGGTCCATGCTTTCAACACTCTACCACAGTGCAAAGCGTCCATGCTTTCAACACTCTACCACAGTGCAAAGCGTCAATGCTTTCAACACTCAAATACTATCACAGTGCAAAGCGTCCATGCTTTCAACACTCAAATCCTACATCAGTGCAAAGCGTCCATGCTTTCAACACTCTACAACAGTGCAAAGCGGCCATGCTTTCAACACTCTACAACAGTGCACAGCGTCCATGCTTTCAACACTCTACCACAGTGCAAAGCGTTCATGCTTTCAACACTCTACAACAGTGCAAACCGTTCATGCTTTCAACACTCTACCACAGTGCAAAGCGTCAATGCTTTCAACACTCAAATACTACCACAGTGCAAAGCGTCCATGCTTTCAACACTCAAATACTACATCAGTGCAAAGCGACCATGCTTTCAACACTCTACAACAGTGCAAAGCGTCCATGCTTTCAACACTCTACCACAGTGCAAAGCGTCCATGCTTTCAACACTCAAATACTACCACAGTGCAAAGCGTCCATGCTTTCAACACTCAAATACTACATCAGTGCAAAGCGTCCATGCTTTCAACACTCCACCACAGTGCAAAGCGTCCATGCTTTCAACACTCTACAACAGTGCAAAGCGTCCATGCTTTCAACACTCTACAACAGTGCAAAGCGTCCATGCTTTCAACACTCTAAAACAGTGCAAAGCGTCCATGCTTTCAACACTCTAAAACAGTGCAAAGCGTCTATGCTTTCAACACGCTACAACAGTGCAAAGCGTCCATGCTTTCAACACTCTACAACAGAGCAAAGCGTCCATGCTTTCAACACTCTACCACAGTGCAAAGCGTCAATGCTTTCAACACTCAAATACTACCACAGTGCAAAGCGTCCATGCTTTCAACACTCAAATACTACATCAGTGCAAAGCGTCCATGCTTTCAACACTCTACAACAGTGCAAAGCGTCCATGCTTTCAACACTCTACCACAGTGCAAAGCGTCCATGCTTTCAATACTCTACCACAGTGCAAAGCGTCCATGCTTTCAACACTCTACCACAGTGCAAAGCGTCCATGCTTTCAACACTCTACAACAGTGCAAAGCGTCCATGCTTTCAACACTCTAAAACAGTGCAAAGCGTCCATGCTTTCAACACCTAAATATTACTAAAACATTACTAAAATATTACATTACTAACAGCACTCACACACTCACACATTACTCACAGTGCAAAGCGTCCATGCTTTCAACACTCTACCACAGTGCAAAGCGTCCATGCTTTCAATACTCTACCACAGTGCAAAGCGTCCATGCTTTCAACACTCTACCACAGTGCAAAGCGTCAATGCTTTCAACACGCTACAACAGTGCAAAGCGTCCATGCTTTCAACACTCTACAACAGTGCAAAGCGTCCATGCTTTCAACACCTAAATATTACTAAAACATTACTAAATTATTACATTACTAACAGCACTCACACACTCACACATTACTCACAGTGCAAAGCGTCCATGCTTTCAACACAATCATTTATAACACGTGCCATTCGTATTCTGATATCTACATAAACTAATTATAATTAATATTTTTATCATCATTTTTTTTTATATTTCTGCAATACATACCAAAACTTAAGTAGACAATGACTAATAAACAAAACTAGTTCAACCCATATACAAAAAATAAGTGCCATCTCAGTAATACATCTCATCTATTAATAATTTGCGTTTTAAAATTAGTTAGTTGAAATCCCCTGCATAAAACCACAGATAAAATAAACTCTTTTTTTTAAACTCAATTTTTTGCATTTTGAATAAAACAAATTGAGAAAAATAGAAACAAACATAACAAATGCAACTGAATAATATTACTATTTACGAGTAATAATTAATAAGTTCAGTTAGAATGTTTAATTTTCCTAATATTTTAATAAAATAAAAACATAACGCTTGCTGAGAATGATCCAATAACAAAATATCGCATGTATGACATGACTAATTTAGCCAAAACAACAAAACAAGACTATTTTAACCTGCAAGAAATAAGTAAAAAAACAACAGCAGCCTTGCAACCAAAAGCAACAATATTTATCACTTCGCCTGAATAAATACCGATCAATATATTGTCAAGACTTAAATATAGGCCAACCTGGGTTTACATCAAATTGGGAAAAATCATGTAAAATATAATTCTAGTAAACCAATTTGATGTAGATTCAAGGGAATCGTTCGCGTATACGTTGACCTGAATATGTTCTTATAATAAACATTGTTAATTAAACAATTAAAATCAGGTCGATGTAAGCATGATGTTTCAGGGCTAGCTCGTACTAAATATCGGTGCTGGAAATATACAAGGGAGATTTTTGAGCACGTACCCGCCGATAATTGGGACGAGCGGAAAAATATAAGATAGTGTGCTAAAGACAGGGGAGTTAGTTAGTCCATCGATGTGAGTCGTATTATACAGTCAGTAATTCGCGTTATCAGTCCGTTAGTAGAAGACAGCGCAGACTGAAGATGTTCCTGTAAGTACTTAGTTAACTAAACCATTAAGTCTTGGCATTCCCCAAAATTGTATTATACTGTGAACTTTATGTTAAATAAATGTGTATTT